ATATATATATATATTTAGATATATAAATTATATTTACTTACCTTTTTAAAAAAGTAAAAAAAGATGCTAAAAGTTTTCTTCGAAAAAAAAAAAAATTGTACCAAATTAAAAAGTAAAATCCAAGTGATACTATTTTTATTATTTAAATACATACTCTAATGATATATATCATTTATATAAAAGATATTTGATACAACAACTGAGGCTAACTTAAATCCCACATCAAATTAAATAATGAATATAATTCAAGTGGTATCATCTTTAATTTTTATATATATTTTTATAATGAAACCCGAGTATCCTTATTATTCCTATTGAAGGCTTTTCCTATTCCAATTCAAATGGCTTTAATTGTCCTTAAAAGAAATTATTATAATACAATCCATTCAAAGACATTTTCTCTTTCGACCAAAGTAACAATTATTTAATTCTTCTTCAAAACGTTATTATCTCCGAAACATTACATTACAAAATTACGTTATCTTACTCAAGTGTTACCACACAAAGAATTAATAAAGTAACAATATAAAATGACAGAATGAAAAAATTTAACTTAGAATCTCTAATAATTAGACCATTAAAAGATATATATCTCTTATTTAAAAAATTTAATTTAAATAGAAAAATTGTTATTACTTACTCTCTTGTTCCATTTCTCAAAACTTGTAATTTTCACTCACAGCACGCCGTAAATTCAAAATAACTTCGCTTTCGTTTTATATACTCATTGAGTATACGTGGAATGTGATTGATTCGACTGTTATTGAGATAGATGTGAAACAAGTATAACAATAACACAAATAGCGCTAATTAGAATCATAGAATGTGTTCCGTATCATTTTATCTTTATTTAATAGTCAACAAGGATAAAATGACATATACGCATCATGCGTTGAAACGGAACACATTTCTATCAAATGGATTTCGTTTGTTGATCGGCTGACAGCGACCATTGATCAAAATCCGGCAGTACTGGATCTTTCTACTGACCCTTTATGCAAATTAATCTGGATATTGTTTAGTCTACAATACATACACAATCACAAAAAAAATATACCAATCAACGCATTTTTTCGTGAAATGAAATTGCTGCAGAAAAAAGTGTCGCTTTGTCCCTGTCAACCGAGATATTAATCGAAGTTGACGACTATTCAAATTAGGAAATCTGTTACAGCCACAAAAAACCTTTCTCTGTTTCTTGCTATGTGTGAAAAGTTGTAAACTTTTGCATATCCAATATATTTAACAATACACTTCATAATACAGATTATTATTTAAAAACCATCGCATAAATGTACATGTCATTTATCAAGTAAACTTCACTTATCAAGTGAACTTTTCAATAACTATCATTCTTGTATATAAGATATTTTATATCGTCGTACGGCGATTCCGAAATTATTTTTTTACTTCACAATATATTGCAAATAAAAATATGTTTCAATAAATTAATGTAATAAATAAATTAAAAAAAAAACGAATTTTCTTTAAATCTGAATCAGTGAAAATCTGAATCACTAATATCAGTGCCAAGTATGCCACTGGTAATTAAATGTGAGATCCCTAACCTAGCTAATCTTTATTATGTGATCTAATTAACCTTGTTTTAGTGCTTAAATCAATGAATATAGTATAGGAAAATTGAAATTAATGTGCGAATATCAGTATTTTAGTTATATAATGCTCAAACATTCTTCTTTTTTTAGTTAACTTCACTGATTATCAGTGCCAAGTATGCCACTGGATGATTAGTGATCATCTATTGATTCAGCTTTAGAGAGTATCTAGGATGCAGCTTAAATGTCGAAGAATTGAGAAATGCAAAAAATAATGGACTTACTCAATGTCGCATTGTTGACACGCGACTGATCCGTCTGCGATCTGAGTAATCGCAGTCGATTCAGCTTACTCTGTTGCTGGTCCAGCTTGTGCCTTAATCTAGCGAGTCTGTCCTGCTGTGCTGGCTCCTGAAACGGTAAACAGTGCGTGAACGCGATCACTATAGATAATGAATATACAGTTAACACAGTAAATGGATTAAGATAGGAAGGAAATAAAATCTGTAGTGAATTCAGTTATTTGCATATTGAAAAAAATTACTAATTTTTAATAAATATATCTACTAAATGTAAACATATATTTATTTGGTACAAGGACATTATAATTTAATTAAAGTATTTTTTATTGAGTAAATACTTATAAGTAAATGTTTTATTAATACTATTCAAACAAATATATCTATATTCAAGTGTTGGTAAAAATTTTTTCAGTATAGATTAATGCATAATAAAGATTGCTATTGTATACATAATATTAGCAAAAAGTTAAGTATAAATATTTTAAATGATTAAATATCCAACATTATCGTTATTCAGTAGAATATACAGCAGAGGAATATACGTTATTCAAGAGAATATATATTTTGTACTGTTTCATTGTCAAAGTTATGATTATATTATGCCATTGATTTCAGATACTTTATACATAAAGCAGCCTTTAATGTGTACTAATCCAGTGCAGTGCGATTGATCAAATTCACCGTTAGTAACATTATCACGAACGCAAATCTACATTTGCATAACTATCTATGACAAAAGCTTAAATTTCAACAACGTATCTATTGATTTTCTGTTAGCTTATTATTAGAGGATTAGAGGATGAGTTTAGAGGTCGAAACAAGAAAAAATGCTTCTTCATAATTTCTCATTCGCGAGTTTAATTCGCTATTACCAACTTCGATGGAATCGCGAAACAAGATTACGCGATCTCAGAGAATAGGTCCACCAAGGACCCATTCCCTCTTCGAGACTGCTCTTCGAGATCAAGGCTGCTCAGTCGTGAAGGTCATTATAACGGTAACTGCACAAGCATATTATCGATCTCCCTCACCGTGATCTTTGAGGGAGAGAGAACGCGTGACGAACGAATCATTAAGGGTTGATGCATTATGTACGAATAGAGTCATTGAACTGCATATATGTTAAGCTAGTAGTACATAGAAAAACATAAGCAATAAGCTAATCAAATAATTTTCTTGAATCACAATTAAGAACATAAACCGGATGCGAGAAGTCAACCACTACAAAAAAATGTACAGTGATTGCTAATTATGGCAACATACTTTATTGCTAGCATTACTATTGTATTGTTTTCTTATGTATTGCCATCTATTGCGCGTAATATTGCTAAGTATTGTTAATGTACTGCTATGTACTGCTATGTACTGCTATGTATTGCTAACATATTGCTAGTGCTATACTGCTACTACTGTTACGGCTAGCATTGCCTGGTTTATTACTGTACTGTCATAATAAATTTCTAAAGAAATGTACACTGATTGCCATGGTAGTTGATCCCTCGGTAGGAGTGTTTAATGAAATCTTATAAAAAAATTTCCTGAAACTTCTCTTATTTTTGCTCAAAATTCCAGATAAGATTAGAATAATTTTTAATGCAACTTTGAAATAAATTAAAGTATAAACAACGCAAACAATGTATTGAAAATTATTAGAAGATCCATGAGACTATATCTATTATCCTTTATATTTGGAACCATAAATGAATAATAAAAAAAAGTATAGAAAATACCAATATAATATCAGCTGTTCTATATTGCTGAATATTGTCTTCTACTATCACCCTAATTTTTTAAATGAAAACTCGCGAGACACATGAGAATTATGTACATCAATATACGCAGATACCATAGATGTATACATACCATTCTTATTGCTAATTGATCAATATTTTACATTATTAAGAAGAAGAAATAATCAAAGACACAATATTTTCAAAAAGCGTGATTAAAAAAGGCAAAATTTAAAATTTCAAAATTTTCCTGAGTGTCTCAATAAAAATTTTTTATTTTTTTCAAGAATAAAAAAGAAATCCCTTCCAAAAAATTCCAGATTTTTTTTCTAGTAAGCACTATAGATAAAGCAATAACATAAGCAATAGTATAAAATATAAAAAAACGTTGATCTATTTATTGCTTGCGTCTTTCTATATGCTACTAGTTTTATTTTTCGATTTGAAGTTGGTATTCTTTCAATGACAACTTTCATCAATTGTACGATAAAAATGAAGTATGATTCCAAGTAGTACTTTATCTTAGTCCGAAAATGATGGAAGAGAATGCGACTCACCTGTGCGCCTCGAAGCACGGCTAAGCGGGCCTCTTTCTGCTCCAGGAGGCGCCTTTGCTGAGCGATTTCCCGCTGTTGCCTGGCTGCCATGCTTTCAAGCTCGCTGAGCACCAGCACAGCACCACCCCCGCCCACTGCTAACTGAAACAGCAAGATTAAATGCACGTAAGCATACGAATGTATGTGCCAAGGTAAAACAACGGTAACAAGAAAACGTAAATAGGTACGAATGGACGACAAAAAGGTGTGGAATTGGCGATTAATTACATCTCGAATATCGGCTTTCGATCAACGGCCTTCGTTGTTTCTTGATCTTCCACGAATATTTCCGTGGAGCGCACAGCGCGTAAAACAATTACGTGTCGTTATTTGCTTAGGAGATAAATTCTTTGGAGATATTTTTAAAAAATATATCAAAAAATTTTCATCTTGAAATTTAAGACCAAATTT